GATGCTTCCAGGCTTGGCAGCGGCGCTGGGATCGTTGTGTTCATTCCCAGGGGAACTACTTCGAGGGTGATGGATGAATTTAATACATGAGATAAGTGTACGGGTTTTAATAGGCGCAGTCTAGAAACTTTTCGATCGCACCTCGTATATATCAATATAAAATACCGGATTACCAACCAGCTTGAAGACGAAAGTTCACCTCCACAACAACAAAAGACTGTTTATCAAGGCCCATTTTAATACTGTCCTATTCGAGGTGGTTTCAAAACGAAATTTTGTATACACATTTAAATTATCCACGCAGGGCGGAGTCAGCAGTTCAGAAGGTTGGGACAGTATACGACAATCAGGTAACGGATTTGAAGTTTCCTAGCAAAGCAGAATTCTCGACAAGGACAGGCACTTGATTCAGAGTTATTCTTTATGAGTGGGCTAAATCTTATAACCTCCTTAGGGATACTACAAAATGGCTCATCTAATAAGCCCTATTAACACGCCACATACAAATTGTAGTATGTTTACATAAAACATCTGTATCTGACAGAGTTTTCAAATATGTCTGTTTTTAAATAAAAAAATAGGGGCCTGTGTGGGGTACAACAAACTGATGTAACACTACAGCAGTGTTTTTCTTAACCGAATGCCTGTAAATTATGCCGAAAGGGCCCACGATTTGAAGAGATTATACTCTTTTATTTTTAATCTGTATTTATCTAAGTTTAAGGTCTCAAACACCACATTTTTACTTTTACTCTGGAGTTAAAAAAAAAATGACGAAAAAATCTATACCTTCTACCAAAATTTATAATTTGCAAACATTCTGATAAATTCTCCCTCAAAGACGTTCTGTGTCTTCAAGGAACACGCAATGCAGTCATCCATCCGCATTCGCGGTCCAGCTCCTAGCAATTATTTTCATAAATTTTCCTTGAAAAACTAACCCGTGATCCGCGCAACTTCTCACCAAATAAACGACCCACTGTCACGTCGCGGACCGCCTCGGTCCAAGCCTCACTGTTACACCCGGAATAATTTTAGAAGGACAACGTATTTTACCGTGTTCCTTACCCGTCCATGCCTCTCGAAAGAAAAATAAATAATATTAACAAACAAAGTGGAAATGTAAACATACGAAACTTCAATCCATTCTTGCAGCAATTTTCCATCACTGAGATGACATTTTATTCAGATGTACTAAGAAGGAGCGTCTGGAATGCGATGTTCCGACAAGATAAGGAATTATGAATACCATTAGCAAGAGAGAGAGAGAAATTAAGTTTTCATGGGAACCTCAGTGCAGCCAACTTCTGGATGGAAGTGTAGGACGACCACGTACAGCCACACAAAAACACTTTCTACAAATATTCAGCGTTCTTGTGGGCTCGGCTTGTGTTCTAATGGCGAGAGTTGTGAAATTATTTAGATTTTAATGAGTGTCTCCAGTCGGGGACTAGGTTAACTCTGACAAGAGTCAAACAAAGAAAGATAAACAAATACACCTGAGAGCTGATTCGGCGACAATTAACAGACAGTATTATGCCTAACTATGTCAAGAACTTATCGGTGGCCTTGGTCTACAGCATAGGTCAATAATAAGTGGATCTATGCCTCCATTCCCCCCATACGTCCTCACGCCGCAGTGCTTAATTTGCCCAAAGGTTTGTATAAATAAGTGTTGAACTTAGCGGCTAAGTGATTAACACCCGTACTTTATAATCGGAAGGTCCCGGAGACCGACAATCCTGACTTGGTTTTCCTTAATCAATCCAGGAAAATGCCAAGAAATCTTTATAATTCTTTGTTTATTTAATCGTCCTTTAATCTCACACAAAACGGCCTGAGTTACTGACAGAATTCTTAAATAAATCATAAATAAATAAATTCCTGAAATCTTGCAGCAACCTCGGGGCCTCATCGAATTTTCTGGTAACCTAACGTAAACATTCATAAGATAGGAAATGTTATTCATTTATGGAACTTAATGTCTTTCTAAGCCCCCCACGGTGGTCTAGCGGTTAGAACGCTGGCCTTGTAATCCTGGGGTCTCGGGTTCGATTCCCGGCGGTGCCCGAATTTATAACTTGTGTTGGGCAAGGCCGTGGTCTAGGCAACACGGAGTTTTCCTCCGGGGGCTTCCCCGGTTTCTCCGTGGCATCCCAACAATTACTCCATTCACACACACAGAAGAAGGCAATGGCAAAACACTTCTGGATCATCTGCCAAGAACGTATATGAACAGGTCCCAGTCCGAGAAAAGGATGGAAGGATCCTGTTCATATGGACCTGTCGTCAGACAGAACAATAAATAAATAAAATAAATAATGTCTTTCTGGCCAATTTAATGTAACGCGATTTGTTTGTGACAGGAATAAACTGGGTTATGATGTTACGTCACGAAATCGAAACACGAACAGAAGACAGTAACGATTCTACATTAAAATGTGACCGCACAATTTCGAAATAACCAAACTACCGAACTCGTTTCGTTACTCGCGAAGAGAAATTATTTTAAAAATGGGAACTTTTAAGAAATAAACTGAAAAATTAATTGGATTGATATCTGCGGAAGTCAATTTTTTGCAGGAAACCGAGGTTGGCTGCGCTGTCACTAAACAGGGTCCCATGAAACAAACAATACGCAATACAATCTTTAATTAAGAGAGCGAGAAACGAGCTAGACGACAGGACTCTTTAGGAAGCTTGTGTAATATCACAGAGATTACGAGTGGACCCGTCACTCTTCAAATATCACACGCTTCGAAACATTTGCTCTCTTCCATGCATCTTCATCAGGAACCAGGCAGGAAGAACTTTTTCCTCATGAACAGTAACACAACTTATTGAAGCATTATATTTAAAAATTGCATGAAAACTACAACATCTATAAAATTTCTTTACGAAATAAATTAATGAGATGATAAAGTTGCGTCATATTGTGATAAATATATATTTGTTTAAATCTTGTCAGTCTAATCACAATAAAATTCCTATTAAATATTAAATATTACTATAATTAACATTTAATATATTTTAAATATTTAAATGTTAATTATAGTAATATTTAATATTTAATAGGAATTTTATTGTGATTAGACTGACAAGATTTAAACAAATATATATTTATCACAATATGACGCAACTTTATCATCTCATTAATTTATTTCGTAAAGAAATTTTATAGATGTTGTAGTTTTCATGCAATTTTTAAATATAATGCTTCAATAAGTTGTGTTACTGTTCATGAGGAAAAAGTTCTTCCTGCCTGGTTCCTGATGAAGATGCATGGAAGAGAGCAAATGTTTCGAAGCGTGTGATATTTGAAGAGTGACGGGGAGAAATAAATTAAATCTCAACACGTCTTTACAGCTACTTAAGCCAGATTACTGCCAAACTGACCTACACAGAACCTTCCTCTCGACTCTCCCCAGACCCCATCATAGGCGCCACCACAGACTCATTTGCATTTTTTCCCTCATACGAGAGTTTCCACCGTCCAAAAGAATATTTTAAAATTTTTCTTCATCGTGCAAACATTTCATTCTTCTATTTAAGCGTGCAAGCCTATTATATTAGTACACAGTTTCTCTGATCTTTGTTCTGTGCGTGAAACTAATATTAGCACTCCAATGGAGCAGATTCATTCTTGATAAGCTAGTAGTCACTCACTGGCCCAAGAACTTCCGTCCTCATGACTGACAACTGGAGGAGAGCTCTTGCGAGCACATTAATAAACCACCAAGTTCCATAAATGAATTTCTTAAACAGCTGAATCACTATAAACTTCTCACGGACTCTGCTCCAAGGAGCAGTTAGTTAAAGAGATAAACAAACATTCCGATATGGGCATGAGCTCAGGTAAACGCAAAACCAATAAATGTTCCAACCCAAAGAGAGACACGGCTGAACGTGGTAACGTGTTGACTTTACACGTCTGTCGAACTGTCAGATCGCCAAGCTAGACAATGCGACCAAGTGACTTATAAGAAATGGTCCTGTAAATTTTCACTGACCTCAGCAACGAGTAAGATCCATTCCAAACAAAGGCTCGCTCCACTGTCTACATTCTATTGAGGCCAGTCATATGAGTGATGTTTATGGTGAAACCAGTTTTTTTAATAGTAACTATACTGTTTCGAAGAAATCAATTTCACACTTTTCCTTTTCGAAACTTTTCCCCTGTCCAGAATCAAACATGGCGACACCTGTCTGTATGTCCCTAGATTCAATGATCAATCATCATCAATAATTACGCAAAGATTGATCAATGTTCGTTAACTCCAAATAGCGTACCATTCGATATTACAATAGTCTCTGTACATTTTAAACTCCCTATCATCAGCAATGTAAACATGGACGCCGAGCGAATTTGTGATATGGTACATACTGCCGACTGCCGGCTGACAGCACGCGGGGATACAAAATATTCTGAAATAAATCGTCACAGAATTTAATCTGCTCTGAATTTCAAGCGCATATTTTATTTCATTATGTCGTCCACAATATTTAAACTCTGCCACATTTGCGAAGAATTTACAGCTACCTTTGGTAATATTATAGTATTCCACATCCTGGTGACGAGATATTATTAATATACAGGGTGTTTACTTTTATCTTTGTTTACTTATAGCATCTGACAGAGCTCCTACATTTTTATGGTGTTTCATTCTATATCAGATCTAAAACTTATTGATGATGTTGAAGAGTCAATTGAATAAAAATTTTCTTGGATATTATCCATCGTCTAGTAAATATAAAACGTAAAATACGACGTTTCGGAGATGGGACTCTATCTCCGTCTTCAGGTTCCGGAGATAGGGATTAGCTCTATCTAGTGGGCCCAACTGTGTAGGAACCTGAAGACGGAGATAGAGTCCCATCTCCGAAACGTCGTTTTTTACGTTTTATATTTACTAGACGATGGATAATATCCAAGAAAATTTTTATTCAATTGACTCTTCAACATCGTCAAGAAATTTTAGATTCTAGCCTAATAAATTAAACAAAAAAAAACATGCTTAATTTCCGTTGTTTCGTAAAGTTGCAATGTTATTGGACCGAAACGTAATTCTCTACACATATTTAATCTTTTTCTTCAGCCCAACCGATGACATGGCCACGATCCCCCCCCCCCCCCCCAGCTCGACGCATTGCGTAGAGAAACGTTATCACGTCCTGGATTCGAAACAGATCTTTTGACGGACGACTGTGGCGGGGATGAGCTCGTCCTCACTACATGAGGGTCCATCTCGCTGGCGGAGGCTGCAGTGTGAGTCAGACCCTCGCAGAGAACACAGTGATTGCCTCGTGACGTCATGAAGTTGGTGAGTAAAAAAAAAAATAGTTCATTACCGCAGGCGCCTGTCACCTTCTAATTTTCTTCTTAGCAATGAACTCTGCGTCTTGTATTTATGGCTCGCGCTTCTGTCTCAGAACAACCAGTGATTACGTATTTAAACGACATTACAAGATTTATCTTTTCAACGGACACGCGTTGTGTTTTCTTTGCGGTAAAAACTAAATGTTTAAATAATATTTTGGACGAACTGCTTCAAAGAATTAAGACGGCATTTTGAATATGAGAAGTTTTTGAAATTCCAGCTTCACCTGACAGGAGTTGGTGCTGTAATTCGCCAATAAGTGAATGATCTAAGATTTTTTTTAAAAAAAAATATATCAAGAAATGAATACGTTAGAATTGTTTGTCTTCTCACCCAATATCCAGACACTTAAAGGACACACAGAACCACGCCGTTGCTATGTACGAATTTTCAGCGTATTTGAAAAACTAGATGGTTAGAAGAATACTTGAACATACGAGAGATGAAGTGACATTAGACCCAATGTTAAAAAATTACACAACGAGAAACTTCACCGATTAATCTATTACGTCCAGTGGCAACCTTTTGTTAAAACAGCGATGAACCATCAGTTTCCACAAGAGACGGGATGTGATTGTACATGACGTGGGTAAAGAAGGGTACAGCGGCTGAGGACATTGATAATGGCGAGTATCGACTCTGGAACTTACAAGGCTGAAGACCTAGACTTAGATGGGGGAAATATTAAAATAGACCTTACGAGAACGGGGTGTATGGTTGTGCAGTGGATTTGTCTGACTAAAGAGACAGCCCAGGGCGTATTATAAAGAGTGTAATCATATCTTCCGGTTAAATAAAAGGCGAGTGTTGGATGACTAGCTAAACAACTATTAGCTTCTCAAAGTGAACGAGGTATAACCTAAGATGATATAGTTGCGTCATATTGTGAAAATATATATTTAATTAATTATTCTTGTCCGTCTAATCACAATTTAAAATTTAAAATTAAAATTAAGATAATTAAAATATCACGTGATGTTCCTATCGAAACATTCGATTTACATTTTGGAACATCTTTTTCTTACGACACGTTTCGGTTCTTAAATGAACCATCTTCAGGTGTATAAAAATTAATTAAAATTATATAAACTTAAAACTTAATCATAATTTCTTATATGCAAC